GATCGGGTAGGATTAATGTGTGTGATCTAGCGAGCGTGAGGTCGTAGGTGATTGTTATTGGCTTGTTTTTTAGAGATAGACAATTCAAATTAAGAACTATGTAGCGTGTCACTAACCCTCTGACCAGATATTTGGTTTGGAAGTTTTACAATTTTTCAGTCCGTAACTGTAACCTATACTTTTAAGTGTTTTTAGCCAAATGTTTGTTATTGTAATGGTTTATGGTACATAACGCAATTTCAATGTTTGAAATAGAAAATTTACTTAAAACACGTCGGAAGGAAATGAGAAGGCATGCGGGAATCGACTTCCAGATTGTGAGATCCATTCCCCATGAAACTAGATAAAACCTGCTTGCTTTTCTCAGCTACCTATGTAGCATGTATATTTTATTCCTTTGAAGTAGGGATACCAACTTAACTTTTTTAATACCGGTAGGTATACTAAATTAGAACATACTTCTTTAACATAAGTAGCCTAAATAAAACTCTTCAACTACTATAATATCCTGATACACCTAAAGAGAAATAGATTTACAAGTATAACAAACTCTAATAAAGGTTAATTCAACTGTTTTCTTTTATAACAATCCCCTAGATACAACTATTATATAAAGAAAATGGTATACAATTATGCAATCAATAATGATGGACGACAATAATGTACGCACGCAACATGCATGTACGTTTTTTTGCAAACGTAATGTACAAGAAGAAAATTTATCTATGCGGGTCTTTAAACTTATTTTAGACGCAAACTGCCAACTCAACCGTATAGTGGCAGCACATCGTATGGAAATGTGGAAGATTTACCAGAGGAAAGCGCTGCAGTTTTGACAAGAGGATGCGTAAATCAGGAGTGGGAGCTGTTGTGCAGCGGCGAGGAGGAAGTTTCTTCATCCGTCGGAGAACTTATCTGCCATAATGTCCGAGGGACGGCCACGCCGGGGCGGGTTGGCCCTGGTCGGGGTTCGAGATGAATTAAACATAGAGTAATACGAGCTGTCCTGCGGCGATGACGAATTGTCTGTCAAACAATGTATAGACAAGTGGGGGAGCGGTTGGAGTGGTTGTGTTGAAACAGGACACCCATTCGTGTTAAAACGTATCACACTTTTTGAGGCTTATCTTTATCTTTGTCACTGAAAATGTGTGTTATCAGTTAATTCGTTGATAAATAAATAAAACCAAGAAGTCTCTAGGTTTTCATACGCAAACCAAAATCTGCCACAAGCAAAACAGACACGGACACGAGATTGGAAATAATAAAGATAAGTAATTTAATTTTGTGATAAATATGCAATCTTGAAAACCAATATTTACGTTAATGTAAACTAATTTATTATATCATTACTACTGGTATTAAAACGTAAGGGTGTAAAATAACAATTTGAATTAAAATCGCCATCTATTAAATTCAGTTTTGCTATATTTACCTCTATTTCAAATGTTATGTTATTTGGACACTTGAGGTGTGTCCAAATTACTTTTAGCATAGTAAAATCATTGTAATTGTGTACGATAAAAGTTTGTACTCTCCTAATCCAACGTCAAAAATAAACATAATATCGAAAAATAGTTAAATATTGGATTTTAAATACAGTATACTAATCATTCATGTAAAATTTTTATAAACGTAGTATTATTATTTTCGTCATTTTCAGCATATTTATCGATAATTAGACAAACAATCCTAAATGTAACATGTGTGTGTTATACAAATCGCCATTGGTTTTATCAACCATAAACTAACCAACACAAGGGAGTATGCTTATACAATGATCAACATAATGAGTTCGTCAAAAAAGAAATTGTACAATTAATTGCCACAATTAATACAAACTAGAACCACGTTTACACCGAAGGGGTACCGGAACTAAATATCATTTGGAATGAAATCGAAACTAGATTTTTAATTTGATTCCCAGTTCACACACAATGTTCATTTAATTTCTGTGCCGACTTTAATTAAATCCGATAATAGGTTTGGGCTACGAACCAAATTTTACTTTGTGATACAATAATCTAATTATTGTTGAGACTGTATTGGAGCGAGAAACAATCAACTAGAAAGTATTGTTAAGATATTCAATTTGTAAGAGTCCATATATCATCAATTATATATTGGTCGTACATGTTTCCGGTTATAAAATTGCATCCGAGAAGTGAAAGTGTAATAAGTAATATGATATAAATTACTCGCTTCATTACATAACTATAAGTGATAACTATAACTTGTGATACAAATATAAATACAGTACATGTTGCTTTCAGTGAATTTTACTGGTACTCCTGGCCAATGCCCGGAGAGCTGTATGTATGTTATTTTTATATGAACGTGTTTAAAATTTCAAAATTAAATTTTGAAATAAGTTATATCAAACAGTTATTTAGAAAAGAATATTGAAGGTGGTGAACTGTATTTAAAGCGTAAGTATAACTAAAAAAGCCTGAAAACACGTTACCAGAGTAATTGAACGGGTATATTAAGTACAGTATTATTTTACTAACTAGTGTACATGTTGCTCGAATTCGAGCAATTACAAAGTATTACAGGAGTTATTTCAGATTGAATAACAGTCATATTTACAATGAGTTTAAAAGAGTCAACTCAAATATTACCGTTGTGTAACTCAGAACCTGTTTATCTTCGTTATTGATAAACCTAAAGCATTCCGGACGGTTCTCTCCTTCTCAAAATGCCTCGCTGTACAGGCAACACGGGTCATTAATAGAGGGCCAATTGAGAACGAAAAGTCGTTTTGGGGTAGTGTTAGGGCGCATTTGTAACCAAATAGTTGAAGTTGTCCAGGTTCAGGTTCAGACTGTGATGAGTTAAGCCTATTACGCGCCACTGTTCTGTAGCTGCGGTCGTTATCACGATTGCGCCTCCTGTCTATGTTTCGTTGTCGTTGCGTCGGAGACATTTAAAAGAAATAAACAACAAATTATAGCTACACAAAACAACGATAAATGCACAAATTTAAGTTACAATCATGCTAACACAATCCATCATAGCGACACAAAACAACGATAAATACACAAATTTAAGATACAACCATACTAACACGATCCGTCTTGGGGGTTATGTTTACAAAAAACTCAAATAGTAAATAAATGTACTCAATGTGTTTCATTGAATTGAAAAGTAAATAACAGCAATAAAATTATACAGCTGATCAAAATGTAAACAATTATGTTCTTCATAAGGATAACATGGGAACTTTCAAAGCCACTGGGGCAGAGCCCAAGGGACTTTTTTAAAAATGTAAGGTCAGTTTGCAAATCTACGCGACACGCTCTTTCCAATGAGACGTCAATGGATAAAATCGGTTAAGAAATGGCGGAGGAGTTCAACCGACAAACTTTCGTGTAGCGTATTAATTATATAGATTATCAAACTTGACTTGAGTCTACACATAAATGCAATTAGTGGTTACGTTCATCTTACTAATATTATAAATGTAATACTACGCCATGTTAAAACGATGTATCAACATCTAGGTGTACATTGGCCCGAAATACAATCTTATCGTCCGGACCATATAACAATTGAGAAATTTATATTTATTACTGTGGATGAAAAGCAAAAGATTTTCTAAACAATAAATTCAACAAAAACCCATAACGGTGGACATTCCTACATTTCACCAAACAAACATTTCAAACTTCCGCGACGATTACTCCCATCCATGATCACACAGGTCTACAATGAATGGTTCACCTGGGTAGGAACACATGTTTCTGTATGGTTTACCATATTTACGGTCGTGTCGTCGCTACATAGCTTGTTTGGGCCACCCCCACCCCCACTCGGCGCTGTACCGGTTTGGTATTTAGTCTTTTGACTTGTTTATACCTCCCGTCCCATTTGTTTGTCGTATGTACGCCTGTCGGTCCAACAATCCTACCTATTGTCGGGTCTCCTTTGATACTGTGAAATGTCGTTCGTTCACCTCCCTATAAATTCGAGTTGGAGCTTCGGGTCGAGTGGACGTTGGTGTTCTGGAGATGGAAGATTTGTGACTCGAAAATCTAAATGTGGGTTTGGTAAAATGTTGATTAACAAACATTAGTTTGGTAAAATTTTATATTTTTTTTACTTTTGTTTAGAATTATTTTTGCAGCATTAATTAATCGGCTAAATCGCAAGTAACAGCCTTGAATGACCTCTCGTTTGAATGAAAATACAACGACCGTAGAGAACATCTAGGTACATGGTAACATCAAAGAAATCCCTAAAACTAGATCAGTTAGTTTAAAAGCCACCTACAAAACCTATGGTTGAAGAGTACATGGTTGTATTCCCTACAGTTTTAAGGGATGGTATTGTACTGCTATAAGATATCGAATTAGACTTTATTTCAATAACAGCCTACTGAAGAGCTCCTTGCCTACTAAAAGAACGGTTTACTTAGTATCCTGCTCCAATCAATTACTCAATAACCAGGAATAAGATCATTCACAATCAATAGTAAAAACGTATTCTGTCGTCGATCGGGTTAATCATTTTCAAGAGATAATGGCGGCAAAATGAAATGGCATCTTATATCTAGCATCTTATATCTAAGACGCTGAAGGGTTTGACTCTAATTATGCTGTAAAAAGCATTTTTCTGGATGATACAATAGTTGCAAAAACTTTTTTTTATGACAAATCTCAGAAAAATACATGCATCAGCAAAACCTCTAGAACCTGAGTGCCAAAGGAACTCCTGCATTTATCATCCAAAGAAGATTTAACTCTCGTTCCTATATAAATGAAAATGTTTATTAGCACAATATGTAGTCTCAATGAACAACTTATGCATGTCCTATAGAACCAACGATACTGCAGGAAGATAAAACAAATGAGTTTAAGACAACCTACTAAATTATATCACTTTACTGATACTTTGATACGTCATCGTTGAAAACTCCCGCATCAGACTGTCTAACAACCTCCTGCATGTGGAGAGGAGACACCTAAATATTCTAAATGTATAAAAGCACAATGTCTTACCTCAATGAACGACCTCTGGATGACCTCCTGCATCAACGCCGCTGCAGGTTGACAAAACTCCGCCTCAAACCTGGCGGTGTTGCCGTGGTAGCTGCACACCAGCAGATCCCTGGCCTGTCTGACCAGCACGGGGCGAGTGCGAGGGTAGTTGGAGTACAAGGGTCCGAAGTACTTGTCCGTCAGTCGCTCTATCTCTGTCTTGGCCTACAAGAAGAAAACATTTTTGAAATATGTGTAAAATCCAAAATCCAAATTAAAGAAGTTCAAAATTCAAATCTACTAATCAGAACTACCAGCAAAGAGGCCTGGGGTAACCAAAAAGTCTAATGCTAATAATTCACTACCACCTTCTCTCCCAAGAGCCAAAGGCGAGGTTAGCTGTACACATTCATTTAACAAAATCAATGTAAAACCTCGATCTAGCTATACACTCTATATGATTCTATATACACTCTTACTTTGTGAACCTTTGAAGATCGCGCAACTCATCCTACACTCATCTCCATACTTGGCTTAAAATACCTACTTTGTATGGTCGCCATTTCACTGAAAGGTATTAAATATTACTATTGGCTAAAAAATAGCTTTAGTAAGTAATGTGATGGACTATAATTTGCCTAAATCTGACGTCTTAACTGACTTCAACAAACGATTAAAAGTTTTAATAGTTGCTGTCCCATCATATAGCAGCTAGCCTGATTATGTCGAGGTACTGCTTCAATGCTACTGACACTACTCCAGCCTCTCACAGGAGATTCTCAAGATGAATTACCTCCCTCAGACTGGAGAGTCTCAACCGGAGCTCAGAGATGAAATCAAACCTCATTGTCTCCGACAGGGTACATCAGACCCTGTGTGCCGGGAGAGAACAAAGCATGTTCGAGGAGGAAGCGGTTATGGTGGTAAGTGTTATCTTTAGTGGAGGACCTCCCACATGGTGTCATGGATCCGACACTCGTACAGGGAGTTGTGGAGGTTAGTGAGTGGGTTAGGGTAGAGAGGGTGACGCTATTGGGCCAGGAAAGGTTACCGCTATTATTTCAGATGTGTGCACGCAGTTTTCACAAAATCTATGTTTAGGCAAACAAATTCTAAGGTCGTGTAGGAGAACTTTCTTTACAGTTATTTTGCAGTGACCAAAGTATAATTCGACCAGGTAAGTACCTGTATATTGGTTATTAGCAATACGTAACGTTTTCGGAACTATGGTAAAAACAACGTACTATATTCAAATTTAAGTACTAATTTTTATGAAAACCATTCTTCTCCTATATCAGGTGCGTCTTTTGTCTGTCTCAATCCAAACAAAATCTCGAAACGCATATATAAACAAATACATGTTAACTTGAAAGAGGCTGGTCTCCATAAAACTTTAAATAACTTGGTAACAATATTTTTAGAAGAGTGTTTAACTTTTTAACACGCAAATTAAAGTGCAATGGGTTTCCGGTAGCTTCAAATCATCAAATACAAAGTTTCACCTTTACTATGGATTCAAGAAAAATAAAAGGGATGTGTAAAAATGATCTAATTGATACGAAATTTATCGAGACTGGCCAAAAAGAAAGCAAACTACACTCATATCATTGACTGTATACCATGTACCAATATGGTATATCAATGCGTATACCAACATAAGAGGCTAGTCAGGTGGTTAGAACAGAAAATCTTTGTCCTAGAAGTCCTGGATACAAATCCTGCCAACCATCATTACCTTCTAACTATATCTCTGCTAATTCTATTACTATGTTTACGGCTCACTTTGAGCTTATTCACAAATTTAAGTAAACACTATGTTTATCTCCAGGCGAGGAGAACTGTCTCCTTATTGGAAATAAGCCATTACAAAAAGTCATACGACAATTTAATCACAACCATGACAGTACTGTAAAGCTACGAAAGTCATCAAACCCTAATCAACTAATGGTAATTATTATTTTTAACTTCCTGCAGCCATATCTAGAGTTACCGAGCCATGCCCCATACACACGCACGTCAATCAACCATAGGATTAGAGGTCACCTTGATCACGTGAGGAGTTCATAATCGCAACTTAATAATCACTCCGTAGCTTATGGATATTTAATAGGGGGGCGTCGCTGCCCGTGAGAAACCGAGAGTTGGGAAACTCAGATTTAGATTGGTCTGGGAACATTCTCGAAACGTGGATTCAACATTTAAATTAATTCTGCTACCACAAACATTGTACACAAGAGTACAAACGAATCATCAGCATTTATAATTTCCTAGAACGCTAGGCACATGCCCGGGATCGTTTGTCACATTACTTCAGGCTAGACCTAGGGGTTGCGGGATTATCAATTAGAATCCATTAGTGATTTCACTGGATTTGAACCTGAGACCTCAGGGACCCTAGTCCCGCGCTCTAACCACTAGACCAGCTCGCTCCCCCAGGTACGTAGTAAAATACAAGTTTTCTAAAACTAAACAAGACGAGTCTGGTATTGCCAGAAAACTTTAAATGCTGAACCATAACACAGCAATTCAACTACTTGCTACCATTATCTACCAATCGCGATGTAGAGGATGAGGGGGTAAATATTACACAGATAAGATAAACGTTAACCTTAATTGTTGTGAACATTAGCCATTACACTACACCATACAAGTGGATTACTGGGTTATCTCTGAGAGATAACCTGAATTACTCATACCAGTCTCACCTATTGATTCTAGATTGGTTTTATGTTGAAACATGGCTGTATGTTGGAAAGGTTCAAAATAATACGGTTCGTTTTCAATTCACACAGTTACGAGGAAGACTATATACAGTATATACAGTATCATGGATTACAGATGTTATGAATTTACAATCACAAATCTTTCCAAACTGATTCTAATTGGTTTTCGCCTCTTTCATAAGGAAAAGACCTAATCCTTAAATAATTAGCATATCTTAAAATACTCTGGAAATCTTTGATGCTGTATATCAGTCCGTAACTGCACAAAGCCGTAATCATTACATAATTAATCTATATATATAAAAGGCAAAGCCCTCACTGACTGACTGACTCACTCATCACTAATTCTCCCACTTCCCACTTACCTAGGAGGCTGAAATTTGGTACACTGATTCTTTAGGCATTAAATAGGAAAACTGAGTGGTTTTTATTCTGATCGGACTCTCGGGCTCCGCCCCAGTGGCTCTGGAGTTTCCCATGTTAACATAATGAGTACTCATATTTAAATGGAATTAATGAATCATAACAGCTGTTTCAATTAAACAAGTTGGTCCTGTTCTGTGATGTTCAATAGCATTAAAGTTACTAGGATTACCAACAGAGTGCAACACTATTATTTTTTTAAATTTATGACAACAGCTAATTTGCAACCAAAAGGTGAGTGAGCGCAGCGAACAAACTTCAACCCGGAGGCGAGTTAGCGTAGCGAACGAGCTAACCTGAAGGCAAGTGAGCGCAGCGAACGAGCTCCAACCGTAAAGGTGAGTGAGCGTAGCGAACGAACTTCAACCAGGACGTGATTGAGCCATGCGAACGAGCTCACATATGAAGTTAAACGGGGCAAAGCCCGCGGGTACAGCTAGTCTATATATAAAGCCAGAAGTACCCATGAACTTTTGAGAAAACTACAAGTCACACCCCCATTAACCATATACTTAAAATGTTCGTCATGACGAGAAACCTTGCGCATAATTATCCATTATTTCATAAATTGCCCTCTAAGGTCGTAATTGCTTTCCAAAGGGAACTTTCCATTTACCTAATGTTAAAAATACCTCAGCTGTTATTATTTGTTTGTATTCTGTTTTGTTTATTTCATCTTAACATAACCAATCAATAGTTTTATTAATACTAATGTAGTAAAACGGGGTGGGGCCCGTGGGTAACAGCTAGTATACAGTAAAACCTGGAATATTTACAGAAATTTAAAATGATTGCTAAAACTAACTGTCAGCTGATGTTTTAATCTTGTCTTAAACGAAAAGAAATATTCTAACCCGTTGAATTCCTCATGGAGCCAACGCCAATTAAGGATATCAACGATTTTTAGAAAGGGAAGCTTTATTGAGGAACATCAATATACAGACTGTCCGAAAAGTCCCGGACCGGTTTAATATTTTCTAAACGACAACAGATAAATCGATAAGATTTGGTACACCAACAACACACACAAAAAACTACTTTTTTAAAGAAATATCAATTTTCTGTCATATCATGGGGACGTCCCGAAAGAAGTCAGGAGGAAATCTTAAATAGAAGCATAGGTTGACATGTACATCAAACTAAAGGTCTTTACTAGCAGAATATAATGCCGCAAATTTGAACTCAAACGGACAACTGAGCCAAGAATGACAGTGGTTCAAAGATTCATTTAATTTGCATTGCTTGTTGCATGTTTACTTTTAACGTAAACATAGGTCGATATGCACATCAAATTAAAGGTCTTCACTAGTAGATTACAATGCCGTAAATTCAAGCTCAAAATAACGCCTGAGTAAAAAATGGCAGTCGTTCAAAGATTCAAAATGGCTGATTTAAGAAATCTTTAAACGGCTGCCATTTTTTACTCAGTTATCCGTTTGAGTTCAAATTTGCGGTATTATATTTTGCTAGTAAAGGTCTTTAATTTGATGTACATGTCATCCTATGCTTCTATTTAAGATTTCCTTCTGACTCCTTGCGGGACGTCCCCATGATATGACAGAAAATTGAAATTTCTTTAAAAAAGTAGATTTTTAGGTGTGGTGTTGGTGTACCAAATCTTATAGATCTATCTGTTGTCGTTTAGAAAATATTAAACCGGTCCGGGACTTTTGGGACAGTCTGTATATTCCTTGATAAAGGAATACAACCATTATCAATTTGTAAGTACCTAAACCATTTGCCATGAAATGGCTAATCAACTATTACCATATGTGCACATTGTCCTGTAGGTCATATACAGTCATATTGTAGCTATTGTCTAAGATATACTAGTTCGAAAGAGTTTTTACAATGCAACTTACTTACCTTGGCAATATGTGCTCCTGAACATTGTGTATTTTACCTAGTGTTCAGGGGCACTCCGATATTATTGCCAAGAGTACAAGAGTATAGTTGATGCATTTATGCATGTAAGTAAAAAAAAAACCAAGACGATTCAGGTAGATTTCAGTCGAAATTTAGAGACCATTAGTCAAGTGTTAGTAATATTTGTGTACTAACAAACGCTATTACACTTTG